CAGGGGTCAACAAAAATCGAGGGACCTCTTCAAATTCTCTAAAATTCATCATTTTGTTTCAAAGTGCTGATATGCAACCACAATGTTTTCCTTTCTGTCAGTTGAGAGTGGCCATGTCACAGTTTCTCTCTAAAGAACTTTGCCTAATCATCTCCTTTCCCGAGTGTCCTCAAGCTGGTCCTCCCTGGTCTCTCACAGCACATGGACTCATTTGGGCTTCACTTGTAGACTCCTTCATTGACTTTCTCTTTCTGTATATTTTCAAAATGATAATCTCACAATTTAGCTTTTTGTTATTTGTATTTTTTTTCTTTCGTAGTGCTGTAGGATACTCTGACCCTGATAGTAATTTTTAAAAAATTTTATAGTATTTGCACACAAATCTTCCCTTTCACCAACTCTTCTCTCTCAATCCATCCCAAATAATTTCTTTGAAAAGGGTGACCTATCTTAATGGAAATGGAGAAAATGGCATTAACTTACTGGATACTATATTACTGGACAGCCCTGAAAACTCTAAAGCAGCTGTGAAATGTGTTTTTGTGTTTCAGATGTCTTATTTTGATTGAAAAAACCTTGTACACAAATCACATTTAACAGGATGACATGGTCAGGGTCAGGCAAATTATTGGTGTGTGGTAGACATTTATAAAATTGTACAGGTGACCTCATTTGCCATATATACTAAAAATGTTCACATATAAAAATATATATTATTAGTAATTCACTTCTTATTTCTTTATTATTTTATATAATAAAGACTTCATATTGCCCTTTTGCCATTTTTTTCCCCGATTGAACTACGTTAGCTTCTCCAGTACCAAATATTTTTGTACTACTATTGGATACATATAGATATTTCAGGTTTACCTTGGCTTTCATTTATTTCTTGGAAGTAAGAGTCCTTATTTCTCCCACTTGTTAAGCATCTATTTCCAGCCCAGACACTGTGTGGACCTGTGCTGGCCAATATGGTAGCCATTACCATATGTGGCATCTTGACCACTTGAAATGTGACTAGTCCAAAGTCAGATGCACCTTAAGTACAAAATACATATCAGATTTCAAAGACTTGCTATGAAAAAAAGAATGTAAGGTATCTCAATATTTTATATTGAGTACATGTTGAAATGCTGGGATTTTGGATATCTTAGGTTAGATATTACACACAAAACAGGTGAAGCCTGTTTCCTTTCAGGCTTTTAACTGTTACTACTGGAAAATTTTGTTTTTTATCTTTTTAAATTAAAGTTTATTTATTTTGAGAGAGACAGAAACAATGTGAGCAGAGGAGGGGCAGAGAGAGCGAGAGCGAGAATCCCAAGCAGACTCCATGCTGTCAGTGCAGAGCCTGATGCGGGGCTCAAACTCACAAACTGTGAGATCATGATCTGAGCCAAAACCAAGAGTTGAATGCTTACCCAACTGAGCCACCCAGGTGTCCCACAACTAGAAAATTTTAAATTTCATATGTGCCTCATATTTGCAGCATGCATCATACCTGCCATACAGTGTTAGTTGTAGGTATTTCATACACTTAAAAATGAATGAGTGAGTAAATGAATAAGACAGGCTAAACTTCCCTGATCTTTGAGGACAGCTCATAATAGTTGACCAGGAAGGAATGAGACAAGCATAGGGTTTGATTGAAACTTATTACAATTTAACCCAATCTTCTCATTTTGCAATTGAGAATACCGAGTCCCAGAGAAACTTGTATGCCTTTTGCACTATCCACTGAATAAAGACAGGAAAGCAAGATGTTGGTTCAATACCAGCTTTTCCACTAAGGCACGGGCCTGGATTCTAGAGAGGACTCTGGATTCTAGAGGACCATTTACTGTAGAACTGTTTCAGTCTTTTATGATTTCAATGAATTCGCCCTCTGTAACTGACCAGAGCTTCCAAGACAGACACCCAGGCTGAACTATGGTCTCATGTAGGAGGGACCAAGCTGGACTGGGTCCCAAGATGGACACCTCAGGACAGTGAGACATTGTGACATCACCAATGATGGTCTCAGGTAGTTGCTCATCACTGGCCCTCCAGTCTCAGCTGTTACTGCAAGTCCATTCCTCTACCATGAGTGTGGAGCAGCTCAAATCAACAGATCCACATGTACCTTGAGGTGACAGACTGGCTCTGGTGAATACCCCCTTTTGTAAATTTAGAGGTGACCCTTCCGTTGGCTCTTTTGTGTGAAGAGGCCAATGGTGCTCATTTTTCTAAGGACAGTCTTTAAGGTTCATCCTTTTGTTCTGATTAAGGATTCATTTCTAAATAGTTCAGAATGTGGGGGAAAGAGTCCCAGGCAGTCAGTCATCTCTTTGGCTGCACAGATAATGCTTATAAGGGAGGGAGAGCCAAAAGGCTTCCATTTCTTCCCCCACTCTGGTGAGTTAGGCGTTAATTTGGTACTATGGCTCTTGTGTTAGACTTCTTGAAACTACCCTAGGGCCCATTCCTGTCCCTGAGGCCTCATCTGTCTGCTTCACCCTTTAAGATATTATAATTCTGGATCAATAAGACCTAAGGGCCACATTTTACTCAAATAATTTGCATTGGTCAGTCTCATTTACTCTTACATATTTATAAATAGGTGAGCTTCAATTCAATAAGCACATTTATGTAAATGCTGGGCAAAATTGAGTCCACCCAAGTTAAGAGTGGGAGGGTGGTGGCTGTGCATCCTAGACTAGTGCCTTTGAACTGTAACTATGTATACATAGTTACCCTGCAGGCTTAATTTTAGCTGGATGAACTACCAGAAATGTTAGCAATCTGTCTTTTCAGATTACTTTTGCTCTTTCTCTTTGCTAAAAGATAGATTTTTAAAGTATGGAATCCTGGTTTCACATGTTTCTTTAAACAGAACTGTAACAATTTTGATCAGTGAATATATATATCTTAACGTGAATTTTTAAGCATCTGAGGCAACATTCATTTTCAAATACTTGCATGTTTTACCTTGAAAAATTATACTGTCTACAGATACTCTATATTAGTCTATGTAGCTATAGATGTACAGTGAATATATGTGCATGTACTTTGTGTTATATATATAGATGTGTGTATACACAAACACACACACACACACAGGGAAGGAGAATAGTGGATTTCGGCTAGATGGTTCTATCTTTTTTGTATTGAGATTGTTACTTCGAAAGTAATCTTTACAAATTCTGTTCTTAAAAATATTCTCAAAATCTTAACAATTTGAAGCCTCATGACAAAATAGTAATGTGAACATGTTAATGGATATGATCAAATATTGTAATTTATGCTTTATCTTCATGACTTTTCCGTTTTAAAAATAATCAGGACAATTTTAACAAATATATTTCTCTCAATAATGATGACTGAGTAATAATTCTCCATTTCACATTCAGTACTGTAGCTTGTAAGTGCAGTAATGAGTACAGTTGCTACTACATTTACCATCTGACCATATGCTAGAACATACATCTGCCAAGGAGGACAGACATTCCATTACAATAACAAACAACATAGGCATAGTCTTAAGGCAAATCAATAGACATTAGATATCTTCTTTATCTATTATCATGTTAGTACATACATATATGTGTCAGGCACTTGTTTTGACACTGAAAACTCAGATGTACGCAACTGAGTCTCAGTGGTGGTCATGCAAATAGATGATTATCATATGATGTCAAGATGTCCTAATAGAAATATATACAAGGTGTCACAGAAGTGCAGAAGGAAAAACAATGCCTAACTGCTGGAATCCAGGAATGAAGATAGTCGTAGAGAAGATGGTCTTTGGATTTGAGGTCTTGGTAGGAAATACAGAGTGGTGGTTAAGAGAATAATCTGTGGCTAGACTATATGGGTTTAAATTCCAGCTCTACTGCTTACCAGCCAAGGAAACTTAGGCATGTTATTTAACCTCTCTGTGCTTCAGTGTCTCCCTCTGTAGAATGGGCATAATCACTGGGCATAGCTCATAGGGCTGAAGTGAGGATTATGTGAGTTAGTGTGTGCCATGGGCTTAGAACAGTGCAAGGCACATGGAAAGCCCTTAATCAGTGTTCGCCCCATTGCCAGGGAGAGCAGAATGAGAGAAAGCAAGGAGACACAACGGATTATGGCAGGCTTGGCTTATTTAAAACCGAAATATGAAGTGTATTTGTATAGAAGAAAGAGGGAAATGACAATGTAGGTGGATAGATTAAGGGGAGAGAGCCTCATATGCCACATCAATGAGGCTCATATTCATGGAGCCAGTAGAGAATTTTAAGGACCAAATTTGGGCTTGTATTATAAAAAGATAACTCTGGAGCAATGGGGAATGTGTAGAGGCCAAATTAGCTAAGCGATTATTGATGAGAAAAGACAGGATAAAGGTTCTGCTGAGGGATGGAGAATAGAGTGGAAATTCAAAGTTATATTTGTGAGGTGAAATTGATGAGGGTTGGTGATCGATTAGATTAAGAGAGATGAGGTGGAAGGAATTGTGGATGACTCTTGGACTTCTAATTTGAGTGATTTGGTAAAAAGACTGGAGGAAGAGTAGGCTCGGGGATAAGGTTTTGGATTTGTCAAGATTGATGGGCCCATGACATGACCAAAATTTAGTGTTTAGGCCTGCCACTCAGGAGCTAGAAGTCAAGATTCAGTACTCCTCAAGGTCTAGGTAGCAGCTGACATTGTGGGAATGTGAGTGAGTGCATGACACAGGTTGTATACAGGAAGAGATTCAGGGATGGTTCTGGAACACTGTCGAGCCTGAGAAAGCTGAGCCAGCAAGGAGAGTGGTCATAGACGAAGGAAATGTAGAAGAAAGTGGAAATCATGGAAAATGATGGAGAGGAAATTCAAAGAGGAAGTGTTTAAGTGTAGGAGAGAAGTCAAATAGAATGAGAACTGAGAATTGTACTTTGGACTTGGCAAATAGGAAAAAGAGCTTAAGAAAACCTGGGAGCTATTACCATAGTGAAGTATAACAGCGTGGAGAAAGATACAGTGACTCCCCGTCATTAAGACCCTAGATGTTAATATTTCAGGTCAAATCTAGGTAAATTCCTGGAAAGCATCCATGGATGTGCTCCGGCTTCAGGCTTGATACATGAAGCAGATCTTGGCCTGTCCTCACCAACCTGTTTACCCAGAACCTAGCAAGGGGCTGTGGTGGCCAAAGATCTGTTTTGGTAGAGTTCTGGGAGCTCCTGATACATGAAGCTCCAGGAAGTGTTAAGTGGCCCTGGGGAGTTGCCAAAGAACTTCTGTTGCTTTGATAAGGACTTCAAAGCTGTGAAGTTGTAGGGTTGCTCCGGTAGCTTATGCCTGTGTTGGGGGGAAAAGGGTGTTGGTGAGGATGGTGATAACAGGTTGATTCAAGTTGGCTCTTTTCTGAAACACATCCAAACACATCCAAACTCTTGGCTCAGTCTTAGATGTGATTTTCTGATTAGGTTTCATCACCTGCTTTCTTATTTCCTTCCTTTATGGGTGAAAGTGTCTCATCTCTCCAATTGGATAGTCAATTTCTTAATGGCAGGGACCACACTCCAAAGAGTGTTTTAAACTCCCTTCCAGCATATTCCTGTATTTGACTCCCAACGCAGAATCCTGGTATTCTCAGCCTCACCCGACTTAGTACCAAGAATAGGTCAAGACTGGACCATCCGCCTGGAGTGACGCCATCCCTCTGCAAAAAAAAAAAAAAAAAAGGTTACACAGTTACTTCCCAAAACTTAGCCTAGGAAGGTAAACTCAAGGGATATTTAGAGCAAGCAGTAGTTCATACTGAAACTTCTGCCACTAGTTGCATGCGTGGGGCCTTCTCAGTCCTCCAGGCGAGAACTCCAAGGCCACCCCACTGGTTTCCCAGCGGACACTTTGGTCTGGGAAGAACCTGTGCCGTAAAGGACATTACGGCTCCCATGAGGGTAGACTAAGGTCTCCTCTGGTACGTCCACATGGGGGACCTGATGCAGTCCAGGTACTGCAGCTGGGGGGGCAAACGAGAAAATACGAGGTGGAGGCGTTTTCACTTCTTCCCTTTTGAGGGGGTGTTCTTGATGGGAAGGGGTGGTTTGGGATGGATCTAGCGCCTCAGTCCTATCCCTTCCAGTCTCCCCCGTCTGTTCAAGTTAGTGGCCACCGCTCATCCTCTCCTCGAGTCGGTGTACCGGCGCCGTCCGACGGCGGAAGGAGCGCGTAGGAAGCGGAGGTGGGTGTCCCCGGCCCCCCACCCCGCCGGAGACCGCCAGGCGCGGCGGGAGGATGTCGGCGCGCGGAAGGCGTGCGTCGCCCCCCTGCCCCGCCCGCGCCCCCCGCCCCGGGGGACCCCGCGCCCCGGGGAAGCCCCGCGCGGGGTGCCGGACGCCCGCCCCAGTCCCTCCGCCTCCCGGAGGCCCGGGGCTGCCTCCTCGGGCCGCGCCGGGGCCGCCCCGCACTGCGCATGAGCGGGAGCCCGGCAAGCCCGTGAGAGGAGCCGCCGCCGCCGCCGCCGTCCATTCGCTGCGGAGCCGGAGGAGGAGGGGAGAGGCCTGGAGGACACCAACATGGTGAGGCACTGCGGCCGCCCGCCCGCCCGCCCGCCCCGCCGGCTGGGGGCCGGCGCAGCTGCGCACCCCCGCCCCGCCGCCCTCCGCCCCGTGGCGACCCCGCCGCCCCGAGCCTTGGGCCCGCGGCCTCCGTCCGCTCTCCGGCGGGGCTCTCTCTCCTCCTCTCCCTTCCTCCTTCGCCCCTTCCCGCCCGGGCGCCGCCGCTACGCGAGAGCCGAGGAGGCGGAGCGGAGCTGGGCCTAGTCGGGAGCCCTGGGGAGTTTGGGGCGCGGGGAGAGGCCCCCAGTGCCCCTTGCCGGCCCGGCGCGGGTGGAGGAGGCGTTGGGGCGGGGGGAGGGGATGGGGCAACGGCCTTGCCCTTGCCGGGCCCCCTCGCCGGCTCCATTGTGTCTGACCGGGGACCGGGGTCCGGGGTTCCGGGTGAGGAGCCTCCCCCCCGCCCCGAAGTCGGGGCTTCCCCCTCCGCCCCGCCGGCGAGAAGGAAAGACTTTCGCGGCGCTCCTCTCCCTCCGCTCCCAGCTCCAACACCCCTCAAGTCTCCAGGCAGTTTCGCTTGGGGCGGGGTATTAGCCCTTTTCCTTTCTCCATCACCTCTTGATGCGTCCCATGCATTTGGAAAAGGAGAGTTTAACTGGCCAGTTGGTGGAGGTTATAGGCGCCTCTTCGCAGAGAACATGGGAAACCGCTGAGCTTGGGGGACGTGAGGGGGGGGGGCGGGGAGTACGGAAGTGCAACCTGTTCTTGTTTCATGAAATTAGGAGAAACAGACTTGCTACCTTTTGAGCACGTTTTATTTGCTTGGGGTGGGAGGAGTAATTGTTTTATTATGCCAGTTAAAGACATTTGTAATTTTTAAGAAACAGTTTGTCACGTTATTCCCCTCTTCTTTTTTTTTGTTTGGAAAAAACAAGGTCTTACAGCTTGAAATAGTAGTCAAGTTATCTTGTTTACCTTTTGGTAATCATGTGCCTAATTGTTAGGTTCTCTGTTATTTTAGAATTGAGGTTTGGCATTACTTGAGCATGAGTTGAATTCCATGCAGGTTACTGTATGAATTGACAGTAAAAATGATATTGTTGTCCTTTTGCCCATGGGGAACATAAAGGCCTCTTTGAGGAGGGCGTATGTTTGTGTCTGTGTTAAGGGAATGCCCCAGTATCTTTGCTTTTAGTTGGTCTTATTTCTGCTGAATGACACTTCTCTAGCCCCGTCCTCCAACTTGGCAGAATTTTGGTATCATGTACGGATATGTGGTTTAGTTTGTCATATATTCAGTGTTAAGTTCCATGAAAATTTGCCATTTGTATTTGTAAGAAAACTTTGGCATCAAGTAAAGGTTAATGTTTAGATTGATACTGCAGTGTTGAAAGACCTACCGGGGCTTCTGAGCAGTTTCTAAAATTTTTAAAGTATTTTGAGGGTCACAGATGTTACTCCTGAACTTTCCAGATTCTTGGCATGTAGATGAGGAGTGAGTTTGAAGTAATGAAACACTGGTAAACACTCTATCAGAGCACTGACATGTGCTTTGTTCATAATAGCCTGTAAATCAGCATCATCCTCTGGAAACCTCTCTTGATAATGCTCATCACCTGTTCAGGAATTCAGTATTCATGTGGTTCATGCAAGAGTTCAGCTTGGATTGGAGCTTGTAAGCTTCTCTCCTTCTGTTAATATTAAATTAGCTAGTTTTGGAACTTAGCCATAATTCATCTAATTATACCACTAGCCGCAACGTATCACTAATTTAAGACACTTTCTGTGGCTGATCTCAGATCCTGTCACTAGAATTGTCTTGGTATACTCTTGTTAGTTAGAAACAAAATCACCATGTTCTCTAATAGAAGTTAGGCCATAAGAATTTTGTAGTTAAGAAATTTTTCATCATAAATTTATCTTATTAATTGTGTCTTGATACAGATTTTGGGTTAATGGTATTTTTTCAGTGCATGTAGCTAGGCTTATTTCTAGAAGACCTATCGTCAGTTCTAGGGCAAGCTTAAATGATAGGATATCTGAAATATTTTGTATAAAAAATTGTTCAGTCAACTTACCTGACACATACATAGACCAAAAATAACTCCAAAACTAGACAATATTCTGTTACTCCTGAAAATATTTTAAAAAGTATTAAATAGTATTTAAGTATTAAAAATATTTTTAAAATATTTTAAAAGTATTAAAAAGTATTCAAAATATCTAGGTTATTTTCTTATTTGTAAGATGACAGGACTGAATTTGATGATTTCTAAAGTTCTATTTAGCTAAAAGTTTTCATTCTAATTTTTATTAGATGTGTAAAAAGTATGTACTGTGTAGCCTACTAAATTTTTATAGATTCATGGCATCATAGTAGGAGTCTGAACTGGTTCCACAGAGCATCTATTTTACTCCTTTTCTCTTCTACAGAAGAAGAAATTGAGGACCAAGGAGGTTTTGATTTTTTTGTTTGTTGCAGAACTGAAACTTTTCTCCTGGTTTACTGTTTCCACCAGTATTTGTGGTATATGTGATCTTTTAACTGACATGAAATCTAGAGAAATTGTGAAAATTGGATTTGAAATTAAATTACATTATTCATTTAAGCAGAAGAAAACCCATGTGTTATTAATGAATATATTAAATAACAAAATTCAAATGGATGACTAATGATGTTAATTACAGTGCTTTTAATGGCTTTTTAAAATATGTGTGGACTTTGAAATTTAAGATTATACTTTCAACAAATACAGAGTTTATGAGTCCAAATGAATATAGCCCTGTTTAAGGTGTCTGTTTAGAACTTATTTCACATTCTTTTGCATAGGCACAAATAAAGTAAAGGAGGACCTTAATTAATTTCAGTATTTATTAAAACACTATGTGCCAAGCACTCTTCTGGTAACTGTGTGTGTGTGTGTGTGTGTGTTCCTTCACTGAAAAAATGAAAATCCCTCCCCATGTGAGGGCTACATTTTAGTAGGGAGACACAAATAATAAACATAGTATATGTTTTTCTTCTGTGTTAGAAGGTGTTAAATGCTGTGGGAGAAAAGCAGTGTTAAGAAGGAGAATTGGAGGCAAAGGGATAGTGGTGTCTGCACCACTGATAAGGTGAGTTTTGAGCAGACGAGGAGATGAAGGATTAAGCCACGCAGAAATGTGGTAGAATTTGAGGAACAGTGGGACCAGTGTAGCTGGAGCGTTGTGTATGGGGAGAAAAGGGCGCTTTGGGCATTGGAGCCCGTGATGTCTGAGTGGGAAGGAGTCGAGATGGGCATGGTTGGGAATTGTAAGGATATTGGATTTTTACTCCAAGAGAAATGGGAAGCCACTGAGAAATTCTGAGTGGTATGGTAGACTTTATTTCTGTTCTCCCATAGTGTCCGATTACAATATTATAGTTACTTTTTAAAGCAACCCTTATTTTTTTAAAACAACCCTTAAAAAAAAACAACCCCTTATTATAATTTTCTGTACCACGCAGCTTCTATGTAGAGGGTTTTGAATTGTTTAACATGATTGTTTCATAGTCAGTAAAAACTAGTTGACCATTGAGTTTACCTAAATATGCTAGTTAATAAAAACAACAAAACCTCTTCCATAAATTGCTTTCGAATGTGTTCTAGTACTTTGTACAGAGTTTAATAGCTACATGCAGAAAATTGGGCCTTTGGGGAGAAAGAAGGACATTAGCATTTATCGAGAACGTAGTTAGTATCTGCTAATCAGACAATTTACAGCTATTATTAATCTCCAGCCTGAGGTGGGTATTGCTACCTCCTTTTAATGTATCTGGAAATGGAGGTTTACTGGTTCTAAGTGATTTGACCAAGGTAAAGATCTAGTATGTGGCAGAGCATGGTTTAGAAGCCTGGTCTCTGATTTACATACTTATTTAACCCTTTTTTTTAAAACCCAGCAGGCTCTCTTTCAGTATAGGTGTGGAATTTTTGATTAGTTTCGTTCTTGTTTCTTCCTTACCATATTTTGTAGTGACCTAGTTGTTTCTAATTCAAATGAAATGATATGATGTAAACATTTAACTAATTGAAAAATTAATGCTCTTTGGTACATATAGTAAAAAAGTTGAAAGTAAAATGAACTCTCGTGGTGGTGGTTTTTAGGTTTTAAAAAAGCTGAGCTTATTTCAGTCAAGTGGCTGTTTCCATTATGGCCTCATAAGTTGGGTCAAGCATAATGAAAATCTGTGAGAAAGCTCTCTTTTAAATTTCAGTGTGTGGTATTCAAGTTGTGATAGTATTAGCCATGACATTTGATGAAGAGAAATAGTTCCAAATAGGATTCAGTTGCTTTGTGGACACAAATAAGCTCTTGAATAACCTGCTGACTATCTAGTTTAC